TCAGGGGCCCTGGTGAACAAGCACCCTGGGACTTAGACTCCGTGCTCTGGAAACGCCTAGTTAGTGGAGTGCTAGTGGTACCGCCGGGTGGTCCCTTACACTCAGTATCAGGCTTTATAACACTCCCCACCCACAGCATTAGTGGTCAGTTGCTGGCTGTAACCAAGGACGCCATTAAGATGGTGTCCTTGGTTACCCCACCCCATCTGTGATCTTTCTGTCAGGGCCTGTACCCCAAAAACATTCCTAGAAGTCTATTAGGCAAAGTGTCCTTTGTACTCCCTGATGTTCTAGTGGGGCAAAAGTTCACCACTTACTTGTCCTGCAGCCACATTCAGTCTTCACATAGAAAAATGAATAAAATCAAATATATAAAATATATAAAATACATAAAGTTCTAAATAGGAATAATATATGGATATAAAAATGATGAAGAAAGAATATAATATGATGTGACCAAGGTGACTTTTGTTAATCCAGATATGGTGTGATTCAACAGTGCATGTGAGCGGCAGGCATATAGTTAAAGTGCGCACTCACCGGATACGCATAGAATATGCGCAGTATATAAATCAATGAAGATCCGCACGGAGTTACTCTTAAGGATGGTACTGGAGATGTCAGCCCAGGGTAGATGGATAACATCAAGGTTGGCACTGTGTCCGCAAGACCGCTTTAGGGATATGGACGCATCCTCTTCTGGATAAGGGAATGGTCACCGTGGGGGGAGTGGGGACTTTGGGGGATTAAAAGCTCACCTTGCAAAGCCTTTGGATATGCTGTAGGCGAAAGCAGACAAACCAGGGGCTGTCCAAATAGATTGGTGAAATTCTGGTCTATTTTGCAGATGCCGTTATTATTATTTATTTATTTCAAGTACTTATATAGAGTCATCAATTTACATATATATTGTACATTCACATCGGTCCCTAACCCTCAAAGGGTGTACAATCTAAGGTCCCTAACTTACATTCATACATACACATACAAGGGCCAATTTAGACAGGAGCCAATTACCTACCAGCATGTCTTTGGAGTGTGGGAGAAAACTGGAGTACCTGGAGGAAACCCATGCAGGCACCGGGGGAGAACATGCAAACTCCAGGCAGATTGTGCTGTAGTTGGGATTTGAACCGGCGCCCCTAGTACTGCCAGGCAGACATGCTAACCACTTAGCCACTGTGCCGCCCAACAATGTGTTTTATACAATGACAGAGCACAATTTTGGATAACAGTCTACGGAATTCTATATTTTCGATTTACAAGAGCTGATTATGTTACTATATGACTTAATTCAGGGACCTATAACGGCATCTGCAAAATAGACCAGAATTTCACCAATCTATTTGGATAGCCCCTGGTTTGTCTGCTTTTGCCTACAGCATATCCAAAGGCTTTGCAAGGTGAGCTTTTAATCCCCCAGAGTCCCCCCCCCACAGTGACCATTCCCTTATCCAGAAGAGGTTGCTGCGTCCATATCCTTAAAGGGGTCTTCCGGACACAGTGCCAACCTTGATGTTATCCATCCACCCTGGGCTGACATCTCCAGTACCATCCTTAAGAGGAACTCCGGGCGGATCTTCATTGATTTATATACTGCGCATATTCTATGCATATCCGGTGAGTGCGCACTTTAACTATATGCCTGCCGCTCACCTGCACTGTTGAATCACACCATATCTGGATTAACAAAAGTCACCTTGGTCACATCATATTATATTCTTTAGTATAATAATACGTAGTCCTCCTGCGCTCAATGGAGTCCCTATACCAATCAAAGAGCCGCTAACACTCAAACTGGTACCCAACAGTAATAATACAATCACATATAATCAATTAGTGCAGCGCTAGACATATAATGTGAATAACATATATATGAAAAACTAATCACAGTAATATGTCACACATCTATGCATGCAAAAAAGGTGACCAAACAATGTGATTATTTAGAGAAATAAATCTCAATAATAAACGTGTCCCCCAGTGCCACTCACTGATGTGAATGTGAGCAAATTAGATATCACAAAAAGTTGATAACACTATGCCGTAGTGTTCAACTCCAAGCAATATGATGCAATGCAAGTGATCACACAATAGCTTCAAGTGATGGTAAGTGACTCTCCTCCTGTGGTAAAATTGCCCCCCTCACCTCCACTCTACGGCCCAAAGGGCCTATACACCTTTAAGATCACTCAGGATCTTGATCCACCATAGATAGAAATCACCAGCCAATCTCCCATAGGATTCCCATCCGGTAGGTATTCAGGATACACTGACTCCTGGTCACAGCACGATATACGTCTCTCCCGGATAACATAAGCATAGCAAGAATCTCTCATAGCGTAATAAGTTGCACAATGAGTATTTAATAAGATATATAAACAACTCACATGCAAATGTTCAAATCCACAGTTCATAGGGATGTATGGGTATACTGCATGGGTATCCAAGCACACTAAGGTGTCCTAAGATGGCGGCCGTACCGGAAGTACGTCACCGCCAACCCGGATGCTGCGTCACCATCACGTGGCGTATAGGCCCTTTGGGCCGTAGAGTGGAGGTGAGGGGGCAATTTTACCACAGGAGGAGAGTCACTTACCATCACTTGAAGCTATTGTGTGATCACTTGCATTGCATCATATTGCTTGGAGTTGAACACCACGGTATAGTGTTATGAACTTTTTGTGATATCTGATTTACTCACATTCACATCAGTGAGTGGCACTGGGGGACACGTTTATTATTGAGATTTATTTCTCTAAATTATCACATTCTTTGGTCACCTTTTTTGCATGCATAGATGTGTGACATGTTATTGTGATTAGTTTTTCATATATATGTTATTCACATTATATGTCTAGCGCTGCACTAATTGATTATATATATATTATATTCTTTCCTCATAATTTTTGTATTCATATATTATTCCTATTTTGGACTTTATGTATTTTATATATTTGATTTTATTCATTTGATGCATGGTGATCCACGTGGATTTTATCTCAGTATCTCAGCGCTGCACAATTTCTATACATATTAATTTTGAAGGTTTGTGGTTTCCTTTTAGTGTACAGCTGCTTTTTACCATTATAAGTGCTCGCTGATTTTTACACATCTAGTCTTCATATGGTGACAGGACATGCCAGAGTTAACTGGCTATAGGTTGATCAAAATTCAAACAGTTCAACAAAGACTTGTCATAATTTGATCAGTGTGCGGATAACTCTGCTAGAAAAGTTGGTAAACTTTTATCTATTAGTGACTGCAAGCCACTGATCAGTGTATTCTGACAGTGGAGAGTCCCCCTGTCAGAATACCATGTCTCAGTGGGGAGGAATTCCTCTATCCAACTCATTTGTGTGGATAGAGGAATCTATTCAATTTTTTTGTGTTCAGCCTGCTGGCTAAATAAAAACAAATACCCATCTATGGCCTATTTTACAGAGCTGTGTGTGTCTGGCAATCCTCTACCTCTAATAACATGAGGTCTCTTTTGGAAACTGAAGCTACTATGATGACTGAGGTGTGAGTCAGTCAGTAGGATGCCTCACAGCACAAAGCTGCCTGCACTTGTCTCCTGCTTCCAGCATCTGATTCAATGCCATGCTGCATATCACTGACTAGTACAGTTCCAGGCACTAAAAAAAAGGCTTGGGTCTAGGATATACTGTAGGTGTTATTAATGCCATATGAAAGGCTCACATCCTGAATTAAACATTCAGGCACCCAGCAAGGGAGGTTCCAATACTGCACACAGATTATAAAATGTCTACCTCAATACAGTAAATCATTAGCCAGCAAATCAGAAAATAATGTTGTAATATAATTTGTTACATATGAAAGGTCTAACTTTCCCTCTTAAGACAACATAGTTTCTCCAGATAATGAGGTAGAGATATTTTATAGTGTAGGAAATTGACATCTCTGTTTCTCAATATCAAATATCCCCCTTTAATGAAGAGGCCATTTGTAGAATGGAAGCAGGTCCAGAATTGCTAAATAAAGCTTCCTTAGCCCTCAGGAACCATTTAAAGGCCATTACAAAACCAAAAAACTACCCTATTTTAGCCTTCTCTATTGACTCCAATCTCATACACAAAGTTAATGTTTACTGAGATTAGTAATTAAGGCAAAGCTACATTCATAGTCATCTACCGTTTCACATAATATAGAATTCTAAACCAACACAGTGTATGCCATATATAGTAAAGCTAACTCAGCCTTTCATCTATTTGTAAAACAGCCCTATTGAGCCCTGTGTGACTGTTCAGCTTTGCTTGTATTAGAAAGTGCAGGTTCAAGCACAATTGTAATCATTCATGAATAGCTCATTAGCCTTTGATGCTGGGCACTTTTTCACACATTTATGTAAAAAGCAGGTTGTCAGTAAGTGTGAATAGGCTCAGGACAGGCACAAACATGTACATGCATGTTTCAAAAACTCTTGATAGACTAAAATCAAAGGACATGACAGACAATTCACCACAGACCTAATTATTTAAGCTACAAAAACACCTTTAGAATTAGGTAGGAAATATTTTTCAAATTTTTTTTGTAAGCTGTGTTATTTTTCCAAATGTTTTTGTACTGTATGCTGTACTGTTTTCTGTAAAAGTGGAAAGACACTTTAACCACTAGCCTACAGGGCACTTATACCCCCTTCCTGCCCAGGCCAATTTCCAGCTTTCAGCGCTGTTGCACTTTGAATGACAATTGCGCGGTCACTCAACACTGTACCCATATGAAAGTTTTATAATTTTTTTGTGACAGATAGAGCTTTATTTTGGTGGTATTTAATCACCTCTGGGTTTTTTATTTTTTCTTAAACAAACCAAAAACCACTGAAAATTGTGTGAAAAAAAAAAAAGTTTTTTCTTAGTTTTTGTTATAAAATTTTGTAAATAAGTGATTTTTTTCCTTCACTGATGTGCGCTAATGAGGCTGCAGTGATGGGCACTGATAGGCTGCACTGATGGACACTGATAGGTGGCACTGATGGGCACTGATGAGGAGGCACTGATAGGTGGCACTGATGGGCATTGACAGGCATCACTGATGGGCACTGAAAGGCAGCACTCATATATGGCACTGATAGGCGGCACTGACTGGCACTGATAGGCGGCACTGACTGGCACTGTTAGGTGGCACTGATAGGCAGCACTGACGGGCACTGATAGGCAGCACTGATGGGCACTGATAGGCAGCACTGATGCACACTGATAGGCGGTACTGACTGGCACTGATAGACGGCACTGACTGGCACTGATAGGTGGCACTGATTGGCAGCACTGATAGGTGGCACTGACTGGCATTGATAGGTGGCACTAACTGGTACTGATGGGTGACACTGAAAGGCAGCTCAGATGGGCACTGATATGTGGCATTGATGTGGCACTGATGGGCATTGAAATGTGGAACTGATGTGGCACTGATGGGCACTGGCAGGTGGCATGGATGAGCACTGAGAGCTGGCACTGATGGGCACTGACAGGTGGCGCTGCTGGGGCTACACAGATCATCAGGGCACACTGATCATCAGTGCTCTGATGATCTGTGTACACGTCCCCCCCCGAGGAATGTTGATTACCGCTCTCCTCTCCTCACGAGCTGTCAGCGTGACAGCTCATGGGGAGAGAAATGCCGATAACCAGCATTTCCCTGTTTACATGTGATCAGCTGTGATTGGACACAGCTGACCACATGACCGAGCCGACATCTTCGGCTCTTTCCGTGGATCGGTGATCCACTGTGTCCGAGGGACACAGCGCACCGCCGATCGCCGCGCTGCGTGCTTCGGGAGCCGCGCATGTGTGTTTAGAATGGGAGGACGTCATATGACGTTCTCCCAGAATGAGAGAACCACGTTGCGTCTGTCATATTACTATATGGCAGGCGGTAGGTGGTTAAACTGCAAAAATAGCCAAATGAGGGTATATACATGTGTTGGAATACAGTGTTCACATATTTTATGCAACAGCTACTTCACTATTCAGTAGAGATATATTCTTAAACCAGTAGGTGGCAGTGTTTATACATTTGTAGCTCCCATCTATGGTTAAACTCTATGTCTTTCTATCATAAAAGTTCTATCTTGTATACTGTTTGCAACGAAGCAGCAGATAAACACATGTGGAATGTACACTGTCTGTTCTGAGCTATATACAGAATTTCAAACAGGTTATGGGCCCAGACGCACAGGCATAGCCTGCTACAACAAAGAAGTGCAAGATACAGCAACAGACTAAGAAAAAGAATAAAAAAAAATTGCCAGTAACACTGCTGCAACAAAGCTTTCATTTGCAAATCCGACAAACCAGAACTAACTGTCTTCGAAATCCATGATGAAAATACTGCTAAAAAGCAAAGATACGTGGAAATGTATTAATGAAGCCAGGCCAGAACACCGTTCAGATGAGTAGATAGAGAAAGATCAGAAAGCTACGAGCACAATCTCTCTTAGCATAGACAATCAAATCATACATATATGTATATGGGAAACTGCTAAAGAAATGTGGGAAGGATTACAAAATGTGCATGTAAGAGATACTTTCAGCAATAAACTGTATTCGATTAAAAAGCTATACCAAACCAAGCTGATGAAAGGCTAGGAAATTCAGGATTACATAAAACACTCCTTGGAAATGGTTGAATGTCTGAGAGGCATTGGAAAGGAAATAAAATATTTTCATGTCGCAGCACTATTATTTATTGGTTTACCAGGAAGTTATGAAATGTTTGTCACAGCACTTGATGCACATCCAGATGACGAACTGACATTGAAATATATAAAGGGCAAGCTTGTGGATGAATATAAGCTTATAACAGAAAGCATTAATTGTGATGATACTTCTATCGCAGAGTCTGCTTTAAAGACAGAAAACAGGAATAAAAACAGTAACATGCAGCAAGAAACATGTGAATGCTTTGTGTACAAGAAACAAGGTCATTTAAAAGCAGATTGCAGAATCTGTAAAGCTAGAATGCAGATACAAACTAAACTACAAACGACAAAAAGTGTGAAGGAAGAAACTGACTTTTCTTCCGATAATGAATATTTTTTCAATCCATAAGTTGCACCTCATCTTTTTCAGGCATGGTGTGCTGATTTAGGAGCTACAAGTCACATGAAAAATGACAGACATTTCTTTATTCACCTTGACCAGACTAAAACAGAAAAAATCACCACAGCTAACGAGCAAATAATGGAGCCAGAAAGAATAGGTGATGGGTATTTTTAATTCCCTATTTCCCAGAGTGTCACCAGAATGATACCTGTACAAAAATGTCCTTTATGTCCCTGCTCTTTAAACTAATCTTTTTTCAGTGAAGAAGCGCACAAAACAAGGCAACAAGTGATCTTCCAAGGTGACAGTTGTGCAATCACAAAAGGGGATATCTTACTTGCAAAGGCTAAAATGACAGATTAACTGTATCAGCTGAACTGCAATGAGGCGGGTGACACTCCCAAAAAGGAAAAACATTCAAACTGCATTTACACATGGCAGAGAAGACTTGGGCACAGAAGTCCTGGCATAATAATGAAATTAACTGAGAATGACTATGTAGAAGTAGAATAAAAAATAGTCCATGTGATAAAACAATGAAATGCACCAACTGTATAAAGGAAAAATGAGAAGAAAAGCATTTCCGAAGCAGAATAACATTTTCAATTTTTTTTTTGAAGATGACTACTCCAGGTATACTACACAATATCTAGTACACAACAAAAGTGAAGTACCAGAGAAACTTGAACAGTATTTGGCTCAAGTAAGCAACACATTTGGCAAAATTCTGAGTATTATGCACAGACAATGGAACTGAATATACAGGTGATAACACACAGGCAATTCTCAGATAGCATGGCATAACATTTCAAACTACTGTACCATACAACCCAGAACAAACAGAGTTGCAGAAAGAATGAACCATTTTCTATGTGAGAATGGAAGAACCTTGTTGTTTTATCCAGATATGCCAACCAAATACTGGGGGGGAGGCAATCATAACTACATGCTATCTCCAAAATCGAACACCAGGAAAATCAACTGAGAAAACTCCACATGAACTGTGGAATGGAAAAGCCTTGAATTTAACTATCTCAAAAAATTTTGAAGCAAAACCTATATGCACATCCCAAGAGAAACGTATAAAATGGGATGTTTGCGCAAAGGCAAGTGTACTTGTGGGTACATAGAGATGTAAAATTTCTGGAAAGTTTGACGCCATAGGAAAAAAAAAACATTTTTTTTTTTTGGAAAAAAAAAAAAATAAATTTCAGAAATATTGAAAAAAAAATTCAGTGTGGAGTCGTTTTACAAATTGGAAGCTGTTTTGTTACACTGGGAACATGAAATGCACTGTATATAAATGTATTATGGTTGATATAAAAGTAGAGCTTATTTAGTACATAAAGTAAAGTAAAAATTTAAATTTTTTATTACAAATGGAAAAACAAGGCCTGTTTATGTTAAGAACATTTCAACTGTATTTTGAGAAGAGGTAACCACTCCCCTTACCCTCATAATAATTTAAAAGCTTCCTGCTAATATGCATTTTCAGTTATTGACAATGCTGATCCAGAAGCATATATTGTTGTATATTTTGTCTGAATGTCCAGTTGTCATGTTATCTATAAATTAAGGGACTGTGTATTTTTGGGAAACCATGGTTTGTAACACTTCCTTACTTGAAGATGCTGCTGGTAAAGGAACATTTTGTGATGATCTGAAACAGCAGAAAGTATATTTGGAATGAGAACTCTGGAGGGAAAAGTTACTTGAGCTTTCATTCCATAAAGTATTTTTTAATGTCTTTAGGGTACCTCTGGCATGCCAGGATGTGTTTTGTCATCCTTGTAGTATTTGGAAAAGAATATTCCTCCTCACAATATTTGCAAATTGCAGCTTTGCTCTCAGCAGAAATTGCACTGGAAATGTTACCCAATTTACTGAGCAGACTATATGTAAATATTATGCTGTTATGGTGGAGAACATTAATAATTTAAATGTTAAAAAATTGAGGCCTTTGAGGAGGACAGAAAAATCATCTACTGTATTCCAAAAATCACCCGACTATAGAAAGTACAAGATGGAGCTCACAAGCAAACTAAACTGGAGCCTTTCCCCTGCAGTGCTCCCTAGTGGCAGAAATGCATATTTCTCTTGCTTGAGAACTGCATTGAGAATTACAGTGCTACTTGAACTGTATCCCAAGATTTGCTTGTCTTTAGCTGAGAGAACTTGCATTAATTTAGGAATATAGTGATATATTATTTATTGTTGGAAAAAAACATTCCACACTCCTTTTTTTTCAATTTTTCAGGGCAAAAAAAACAAAAAATGGCTTGAAATAAAATGGAAAAAAACATTTTTTTTTCTGTTTTTTTTCAGGCCTTACCATCTCTAGGAGTATAGTAAATTTTAAAAGGGATACAGAATTCTACACCTTCTACACAAGGTAACTATTAGTAGGTAATTGCCAATGAAACTTCAATGCGTTCAAAATTTCATGAAGTGACTCAAACGCTTCGAACTGAGGGAAATTCCACATCAGTGTTACATGGAGATAAGAAATAAAGTGACACAGAAACAACTTAACGCAGACAATACTTACTGTAAAAAAAAAGAATCCAGGCCACAAGAGGATTCAATCAGGAAATTCACCAGAAGCATTAAAGGCATCCCAGCCAAACATCTGTCCCATGTTGCTCATGTAGCATTAACTGCTTCCCCTATGCCCTAAACGTTATTTTGCATTTCCTAGAAGGACATTTGCGGCCTCATTTGTCAATCACCAGGTCCTGGAAGATGATTACTCACCGTCACTCGGTGATCTCTGAGTATTTCTGACAGGGGAGAGACCTGTGTATAAACAACACAGATCTGTCCTCTGTCAGCTCCTGCACACTGCTTTGTATGGCTTTGCATTTATCTTTGTAGCTGCAGCTATGGTTAAATTCTATGTCTTTTCTATAATAAAAGTTCCTGTTTAACCATTTACCCTCCTAAGGATTTAGCCCCCTTCCCGACCAGGCCATTTTTTGCGTTACAGCTCTGCGTTACTTTAACTGATAATTGCACGGTCATGCAACGCTGCACCCAAACAAAATTTGCGTCCTTTTTTTCCCACAAATTGAGCTTTCTTTCAGAGGTATTTGATCACCTTTCTGTTTTTTATTTTTTGCGCTATAAAAAAAAGGCTGACGATTTTGAGAAAAAACTATATTTTGGACTTTCTGCTATTAAACATGTCCAGTAAAAAAATTTAAAAAATCTTTCTACTAGTAGTGGCAGCGATCAGTGACTTTTAGAGGGACTGCGGCGGACATTCTGACACTGGGAGGGAACTAACTTGGTGACATCTCCAGTGACACCAATACAATGATCAGTCCTAAAAAAAAAAAGCACTGACACTGTACTAATGACACTGAGCAGGAAGGGGTTAACATGAGAGGTGATCAAAGGGTTAACTATCTGTAGAGAGAGTTTTACTAAGGGCGGGGAGTGTGTGCTTCACTGTAAGCACACTGATCAGGATGGCAGTGCTGTGCACAGCCATCCCAAGCAGTGTGCCCGAGCTGACAGGGAGGAAGACTGTTTGTAAACACTGTTGTAAAGACTGTTTGTTTGTCTTCCTTCCCATCAGAGATGCTTGGCAATCACCTGGCATCAGCGGGTAATTACCAGCCAGGGCCCGGTGATTGACAGCTGTGACCATGAATGGCATCGAGGGTAGGGTAGGGCGT